AAAAAAAAAAAAAACACCAAAAAACGGCTGGTCCTCATCTTCAAGGCAAGCTGTCCCCTTCAGATGGGACTCACGTTTTCCGGTCTACCTGGTCCCCTCCAACCTCGGTGGCTTCTCCCTTGGCCTGTGGTACATGCTCTTGTCCTCCCGCTTTGTGGTAAGCATTTGAATTTCTGAATCTTGCTGGTGTAGCCAGGCCTCTCCACCGTACAAGGGGGAAAGAGATGGCATCTGAAACCCCACAGGCTGGGTTGTAACCAGGGAGGTCCGTTCAGACACCAGGATACCAGAAAAAGCCATCCCAAGGGCACACACTGCGTGTGTGTGGAGGGGCCCACGTGCTGAGCTTCAAGGCCATAGGCCATGCCCACCTCAGTACCCAGATCCTGCCCCTCCTCAGCAAGAGGGGCTTTTTGGGGGAAAAGCAGAGGTGCCTGGGGTGGAAGTGGCTTCAAGACTTAGAAAAAAGCTGGTGCCCTGCCTTTGTAGAAGGCAGAAGTTGAGTTAGCTGTCATGTTTACGATGGTGTCCTGCTCTTTAACGCTGCCTGGCACAGAGCAAGTGTTCAGAAAGGGGAGGGCTTTTCATGATTCTGGAAAACCAGGGAGTGGGGAGACGATTGTTGGTCCTGGGGTCAGGAGAGCCCTCCTAGCTTCATATCCTTGGTGCCCTCATATCTCACTTGAACCTCAGTCTCCTCGTCTGTTCTCTTTTCCAGCTCTAATGTTCTGAGGGTCTCAGTGGAGCTTTGGGAAACGCCCAGAAGGCAGTGTAAAAGAATCCTTCAGCTGTCCACCCACTTCCCAACAGAGGCCGGCCGGGTGGGGAGACCTGGGTGGAGGGCCTGCTCCTCCAAATAAGAGAGGAAAAACTCGTGACTCAGGGAAAGGCAGAAGTTGAGTCAGCCAAGCCACAAGCTATGGAAAAAATGAAGTTTCCCTGAGGCTTTTTTCTGCTCCCTGGGTAAGAAACCTTTTCTGAGGAAAAACTGACTTTGGGACTCTGAGAACCAGGGTTTCAGGATTGCAAGTTGGGTGTTTTGGCAACCTCCTCTGAAGGAATTTTTATTGCATTACTTATTAAACTGTCTATGTGCCAAGTACTGTGTGCTGAGTACTTTGTATTTGTTTCATCTCTTCCCACACTCAACCTGTTAGTCCCCTGGTTTCAGTTCAAGAAACACTAAAGTATTTACAGGTGAAGTGTCAAAGCTAATGTCAGCGTTCAGCAAGAAAGAGAGAAGAAACAAATAACATAAAATATTAACAATTAGTAAATCTAATTTACTGGCTCTGAGCTGAACTTCACTCCAATAACCTGGCTACACCAGGCCTGGCTACACCAGCAAGATTTACTAATTGTTTACTAATTGGGGCTGGGGATTTAGCTCAGTGGCACAGCACCTGCCTGGCAAGTGCAAGGTCGTGAGTTCGATTTCCGGTACCGGAAAAAAAAAATTAGTAAATCTAGATCAGGCGTAAAGGGGTAAATAATAAGCGACTTTAAAAGCCAAGGGGTCTCTGTGCTAACTACTAAACTAGCATCGTGGAGCAAAAGCGGCCGTAGGCAGTATGTAAACAAGTGGGTAAACTTTATTCATAGACACTGCTACTAGGATTTCCTATAACTTTTATGTGCTAGGAAACATACTCCCTCCTTTTAAATTTTTTTCCAACCACTTTTAAACGTAAAAACCCACTCCTAGCTCAAGGATCCGACAAACTACCCCTGGGGCCGATGTTTACCAACCCCTGACCCTGGCTGTTCCTTGTTCTTTTCTTGCAGCTTGGGTCAGCCTGAAAATTTTCGAAACAGAAAGCTGGAAAATCAAAACAAAACAAAAAACAAAACAGAACAGAGATCCCACTGTTGAAAATTGGCTGATCTTCAAGTTAACTCTAAATATGTCCGATTCCCATCTACTCCCTGATGTCTCCTTTGTCCCTAAATGCTGAGACAGTTTGTCTCAAAGCCATAAAAGTGTGGGGGGTGTTTTGGGAAGATTTCTATTGGAATGGTCAAGAAGATGAGTTGTAAAGGAGGAAGCCCTGAGAAAATGACGCAAAACAGTTTGGAAAACTATGATTTCAGGAGACAAGTTTTGAGAGTAGCACTGCTGAATTTGCCTTTGAAACTGAGATGCTATCTACACCCTACAGAACTGTAATGATTTTGCCCTTCCCCTGCCCCTGCCTTTCTACAGGGTCAATATTTATTCCATCCGCCTGTGTTTGCCCTGTGTTTATCATTGTAACTGCCTAAGAATCCTTTTCATGCTTGTGCACACCTTCGTGCCTGCTTCTCATCCTGGTCTTCACCTTGAGACTAACTGGGCCAAGGGGAAGAGGGAGAGAAAAATGAAGAGAAAGCATGAAGAAGTCTTGGAAAAGGGCTTCCAATGGATGAAATAAATGTTTCATGTAAATATAATCCTCAGAGAGTGTTGGACACACCTGGTTGTACAAATATAGTACAGCCAAGAGCCCTTTGACAGCATTGGTTTGGCAAAATTCCATCTGGGTTATTCATCCACTCAACAAATGATTATTGGGAAGCTTTTTGTGGCACTCCCTGGGCAGCGAATGCAAAGATGAGTGAGGCTGTCTCTGTCCTTGGAGACCTTACAGTTGAATAGGGGAAAAGTCATGAGTATTTGTTTAACTAAAAGAAAGAAGAATTGCTCACCCAGAGAAGAGGGTTAGCTGATACAGCTTGGAGCACAGTGTGGAGTTAGCCTCGGGTGCCTGGCTGGCCAGGAACTCCTCATCTGCTCCACTGAAGGCAAGAATAGCATTGTGGGTGTTGAGGACAAAGAAGGGTGAAAAAAAAGCCCAGCACATGGTGTGCAAGAGGGCCAGAGGAAGCTCTCCAATTGAGCAGGCTAGGGTGGCTTATAAAAGACTTCAAAGGACTGGTGTGGGTGAGATTCCATATTAAATTACTTGCTGAGCTTCCTGGGCTGCCTTCCATTGTGACTACTACTGCCCAAGACTTCATGACTCCATTTCCTCCCTGAGTAGAGCATAGACTGTTACAGTCAGCCTCTATGGAGGGGAACGTGGCAACATCTATCATGACTAAAAAAAACAAAACTCGCACAGATCCTTCTGTCCAGCTAGCCTACTTGGAGGCATTTATCCTTAGATACTCTTGTACTTGTGCAAAATGATTTGTGCACACATTCATTCACTGCAGTGCTGCTTGCAGTAGAGACTCATGAACACTCAAGCATCTATTGATCCACTGTGGCATATCCACACAGTGCAATCGCCTGCTGTAATTAAAGGGATGAAAGGGTAAAGTAAACCTGTTGCACAAGTTTAAATACTTCATGGTTTTTCTGTGAGAAGCCTGGACTATAAATAAAGAGCAAAAACAAAAAAAAAGATACTAGGAAGCAGAGAGGAAGATTTTTCACAAGTGGAAAAGGGATCAAAAGATAGAGGGAGTGGGGAGAAGAGGAGAGGAAGGGAACAGAAAAATAATTAAGGGCCAGGGATATCGCTCAGTGGCACAGTGCCTGCCTGGCAAGCACAAGGTCCTGAGTTCAATTCCCAATACCAAAAAAAAAAGAAGAATGTCTTATAAAGAATTAAGATGCATTATGCACATGACTCCCCACAAGAAATTTAATCATTATGTGTTGCAAACATGTACCAATAATTTTTTAAAAATACTAAATAAAGAAATAGATAATTAAAAGAATGAAGGGTATCTTTATGTCCTAATGTGGATTTTC